CACTGTGATGTGGGTCTGACATTCAAAAAATAATAAAAAATGGTTGATTGTATAGTAAAGTAGCAAAATGCCAATAACACTCATGGCATGAAATGAAGAATGAAGCTCGTCCAGAGTCCGAAAGTCCACACGAGGAATCTATTGAGATCCTGGCCACAAAGAAACTGAAATTTGTTTGGATTACATTCGCTGAGCTAATTGTGATTGAAGATGGAAGAAAAACAAGAGCCAAGAAGAGGAAAATTATTCGGAAAAAGCATGGAAGTTTTTTTTTCCACCAAAGATATCAGCATGCACTTCTCCAGCGAAGAAAATCAATAACTTTATTAGCATTAACAAATTAAAATGTGCAAGTACAGGGAGTGTAAGAATCATCTGGAAGACAAAGCAAGCGTTTTAAAGGTTGGCTGCAAAGTAATCAATGTACATAATCAATATATGTCTGCGGTTTGATTCATAATTTTGAGTGGTGAATCGGGAAAGCTTGTTTTCTAATCTATAACGGCGTGTAAAAATCTGCGGACCAGAAGGTTGTGTTACAGGAATTTGACATTTGACCATTAGTCAGATATGATTTCATGAAGTGGGTCCTTGTTGTAACCTTATACATAAATTTAGAAAACCATTTTTTCAGAGATATATGATAGGAAGAAGAAATGGCCACTTCATTAGGTGCACCTCACTAGTGCCTTCAGAACTGCCTCGGTTCTTGGAAACAGTCCTGGAAACATCTCTTAGAGACTTTGATCCATATTGACATGACAGGATCACACAGTTGCTGCAGATGTGAATCTCCTGTTCCATCCCATCGGTGCTCTGTTGTACTGGGATATGGTGATTGTCGAGGTCATTTGAGCACAGTGAACTCAGCGTCGTGTTTAAGAAACCACTCAGAGATGATTTGAGCTTTGTGACAACGGTGTGTTATCCTGCTGAAAGCAGCCATCAGAAGATGGTCAGTAGCAACACTCAGGCTGTGGTGATGTAGCATTAAGAGGCCCAGAGTGTACCACGAAAATATCCCCCAGACCATTAGTCTGAATTACTGATACAAAACAGGCTGGATTAATGCCTTTATGTTATTTACACCTAATTCTGCTCCTGATATCTGAGTGTTGCAGCAGCTCAGGAGACTCATAAGACCAGACAACATTTTTCTGATCTGTTGTTCAATTTTGGTGAGGCTGTGTGAATCGCAGCACCAGTTTTCTGCAGCTCTGCATGTATAAATGCTATGTAAATGCTAGTTGATGCTATGTAATTGCCACCGGGTTGTGGTCTTCAGCTGTTGTAAAGAGTGGTCATTTGAGTTACTGTTCCTTCCTATCTAGCTATTCTCCTCTGACCTCTGCCATCAACAACACATTCTTACTAAGAGAAATGCCCCTTGCTGCATATTTCCTGAATTATTTACTATTCTCTGTAAACCCTAGATACAGCTGTGATTGGAAATCCCAGTTCCTGAAATACTCAGACCAGCTACTCTGGCACCAACAACCATGTCAGATGCAAAATCACTTAAATCACTTTTTTTCTGATGCTTGGTCTGATCCAACATTGGCCAGTGAGTTTATATTTCACTACTCACTAGTCAAAGCCAAAACACTTTTCATACAATAGGTATGGCAGCTGTATAACTAGATTTAACATGGAAGAAAATAATATTTGTTAAAGAGTTCCTAAAGTCAGTCAGCACTTCATTAGCAAGGCGTGTTCACCTGCTTAGTTTTGCACTGATATGGCCGCTCCAGTCAGGATTTCATTTAATGTTGGTGTCTGAATCACCTCTCTGACCAAGGACGCAAACCAGTCGTGGCACATGGCTGCCCCTCTCTGAGCCCTTGAGGCGACTGTTGATGTGATTTGGCTTTATACACATAAAACCAGACCCTCCTACAGGACTTTTGGGGCTTTGATTGACATGAATGGAAAGCTGAGCAGATATTTGTTGACTGCTATGTGAGCAAAGCTTTCAAAGTGCATGCATAAGAACAAACAGAGGCTTCAAGCAGAGTGCAGCGAAGATCATTTAGAAGTCTCATTGCCAGCTTGAAGTTTTTACATTTCCATGAAAATGAGCTTTTAAACGAGCAATTAGCAACATTCCTGCGTTGGCTTTGATACCGAGCACTCTGCTGCGGTACAGTTTGAACTTGTGACTTGAGGGTTTAATGCGACACGATTCTTCTTCCATTTATTGCTTCTTCGTGTTCTAATCACTTCTCTGATTAAACCAATTAGAGCTTCATAACAGTGTGAAGTTAATTTAGGCAGAGATAACATCCTGACTTCCAAGAAGGGGGGCTGTGCAAAATAAGCTGCATGATGATAAATGTACTAACGTTTTTAATTCTATCAGACTCGCACAACGACACAACGTTAAGACATTTCAAGTCTCCTAGCTGGAGAATTTTCAGTTATTAGGTAAGACTCTCTGGGAAAGGGCTCACGGCCTCGGTACCCCAGAGTGCCGCGCAGTTACAGTTTGCATATTTGTACATCTGACACTGACAGAATATGTGAAAGAATGTGAAGCTTTTCTCGGCTTGAAGAGCCCCTCCCGCTCTCTGAAAGTAATTTTGTAAAACAGGAAATCAGAGGCACGCAGAGTTGCAGTCAGCCAAGTGTCTGCATATCCTGAAATACAAAGCAGATGGAAAAAAAAAAAAGATTTCCTACAGTGTTGGATTAAGATGAACATTTTAATTTTAAACTTTCAGGTTTGCAAGCAACGTCTGATTGTTTAGTCTGACATCATGGCGACACAAGACAGTATAAAGCAAAGAGCAATGGCTCAGTTTGACTTTTATGGATGGCTCCACTTACTCCACTAATCTCACTAAGCTCTTCTTCTAGATCCTCCCCAGCCTTACCTATCACACCGCTGCACATCAGTGTTTACTTCAACGCACTGCGAGCACAGTGTGCTGCTTCTACAGTCACTATGCCCACCATCTATCAATGTCCCACGAAGCTGCTGGAGAGTCAGGGATCTTCCTGTTCCTGGTCATGTTGATGGAGCGGCCCACACTTCGTATGCGAGACTCAAAACTGTAATTACGGTCCAGCTTACCTATTTCTCATACATAAAGCGTGTCTTAAAATACATCACCACTAGATGTGCTCATGGCTGATGCTAAAGAGCTTTGGTTGTTAGCAACAGTTGTCAGTAACTTGCACATACAGGGGCCTCATTATTAGAAACTCGTGTATCCTGGATTTTAAAAATGTGTGTATATACACACACAAACCCAAAAAGTTGGGATACTGTCTGTAATGTAAACAATAACAGAAAGCAATGTTTAGCAAGTCTTGTAAACCAGTATTTTTATTAACCACAGAAAACAGAAACCAAATTAAATGTTTGAACTGAGGAAAAACAACCTTTTATATATATATATATATCTAAAAAAAACTCTTAGCTTAGTTTAAATTTGATTGCAGCAAAAAGCTTAAAAAGGTTGGGCAACAAACGTTGTCAAAGTGAGAGTAAAAAGCTTGGAGGAATATTTTACAGCTAATTTGGTTATTTGCCAACAGGTCAGAAACATGGTTTGGTACAAAAAGAGTCTTAGACTACGTTCACA